CACCTCCCCCCCACCCCACTTCTTTTTCCCCGCGCTCTGCTGCAGGACGCTAAATTACACACCTTCAATTAGCAGGATATAATGGTTTAACGAGGAAATGCTTTGTGGTGGACTCAAACCCCAGATTATTTCCTCCTGCAGGAGATTTTGACTACATTATTCTTATTAATTTAATTTGAATATTTTTTTTCTCCCGGTGAGAAAGCCTCTCCAGGCTCTTCCCGTCGAGAAAAATGCAGCGAGAAGGGGAAGCAGCTCCCCAAGAGCTGCAAAAGTTTCATCCCCTTCTCCCACCGCGGTCCCCCCCCCGGCCCTTTCCCTTAAATTTCTGAAAGAGAAGCCAGAGCGAAGGCACTAAACTCCACTGGGCTTAAAAACCCTCCGTACACTTGATGAAAGGCAGGAGGAAAACGGGAGCAGAGGGCGTTTTGGAGAGGCCGGGATGCGAGTGTGCGTTCCGGCTGGCCCAAAGTTTGCTCCTGGAATTCCAACTCGGGGAAAATACCTGCTTTTTGTCAGTCGTGCTCGTGCGGGAGGGCGAGAACCAGGCTGCTCGCAGGGACGGCCGCGCTCCGCATCGCTCCGCAGCTGCACGGCTGCTGCTGGGGTGCACTAGGCCCAGTTACACATTGAGGACAGCAAAATAAACCCATGGCTTGGGTGCTCCCTGGCCCTTGGGTTGTGTCGTGTGTGTCCCCCTTTTATTTTAATTAAAATCAAAAAAGGAAAAAAAAGGGGAAAAAATAAGGGGAAAAAAGCCCAGCTCTGTGCTTATGCTCCAACCTCGCATTCTTGTTGCTCATTTGGAAAAGTAAGATGAGGATTAGAGGCCTCCTGACAAACTCTTCTCTCCGAAGGATCAATTAGGTGATTCTGTCATTTTTTAATGGAAAAAAGGGACAAGCCCTGAGCAATCACAACAATTTCCTATTTTTTTTTCCATTCCAGGAGCTTTTATTGATACGAGTTTTGGGACGGAGATTTTTTTTTTTCCCCCTCTGCTCTTTTTTTTTTTTTTTTTTTTTTTTTTTTTTTATGTATGTATTAAGTTTTGCTTCAGATTTAAAGGGAAGCTTTCGAAAGTGGGTTAGAAAAGGAAAACAACCCGAAATCCGAGTTGTGAGCGGTATTTATCCACGCACTGGCACTGCAAAGGCACGAGCATTTTGTATCATCTGTCAGGAAAAATCTAAACATCGTTCCATTTACATATCTGCTGAAGATCTAGGAAATAGTTGAGGGACACATGCACATCTCCAAATAGATTTACAAGCAAATGGATTGTAAAAAAATACTAACAAGGGTCACTGTAGCTGGCTTAATTTCAAAAGGATCAGCAGAAATATATTGTTTCCAAAGGCTCCTTTGCAGTGTTACATTCTTGCGGGCGCTTTTGGGGCTCTTTCGGTCGTAGTTACTTCATTTTATTTCTTATTTATTTAAATTTTTTTTCGTACCTTTTCTGGAGAGCGGAGGGGAATTTGGGAAGAAGCACCACACAATGGTCCGGCCCAAATTTGGGGTGCTCCTTGGAAACAGGCTGCTCTCAGAAGAGCTGGATTCATAAACTTTGGAGAGTAGTGCAATGAGATGGATAATAATAATCATAATAATCATAAAAAGGAAACTCTTTATTCTTGCTTTCACAGCTTTCTGGTGCCTTTTCTTTTTAGGTGACCCATCAAACACTGAGGGGGGGGAAGCAAATGTCTTTATCAAATACTTTGGAAGTTTCCCTTAAAGCTAACTTGGGGAGAGGCAAAGATCAGCTCCTTTTCCATCAGTTACTTAAAATCTTGCTATTTTACAGCGAGCCTGCAGACCACTCTTTAGCACACTTGCATTGACACATTCCCTAAACTTTTTTTTCGGGAAGGGGCCCTATAATAACACTGAAATAAATAATTGTATTGTGCAGAAAGTGCTTCCCTCCCCCCCCTTTCCCCGCTTCCAGCCCAATTTTGTTTGATCAGCCCCGAGTGCTTTTTCTTTCCACTTCGCCTTTGGTAATACCTCGCCGCCGAGGTGGAAGCGGTGGGATTTGGAGTTTACCGGGACACTTGGAAAGTTGGTCTGGTTCTGAGCCATGAACCTTTTCTCCTCGTACACCATTTTGAACAGACACATTGGAGTCTAACAGTGTGCACACCTCGCGCGCCGAGCAGCGGTGCCTCTCATTTACTTCAGCCATAGGCTCCACACCACAAAAAGAAAAAAGCACCTTTATATTCCCTCCTCCACCCCCCACCCCCCCCAAAGTCTTTTAAAGTGGGTTTTAAATCAGTTCTTTTCAGAGGGTGTTGTTTCTACTTCCCCTTTCAGGTTCGCATCGTCGCAATCAGCTTTAGCGCAGGTTAAAGCAACTCTCTCTTGGATAGTATCCAGCGTCGAGCCAAAAAAGTCCCGAGCACATGAGATCAGGCAGGACAAAAGCGCTGCTTAAAGCAGGAAAGTTGAAATATTTCAGGATGTACCAAGAACGTGTTTGGAAACGAGGGACGCTCGAAGCGCTCCCCTGGCTCGCTGTGGGTCTGTCGAGCCTCTGCTCTGTGTGTACCTTCGCAGATAAACTTCCACTTGACAAAAGGCCCTTTTTTCCCCTGACTCTCCCTGAGTGGTGAAGGGGGAAGCACTGGAGGGATCAGAAGGGAGGGTTTATTATTTTTAATAGCTTGTAGGGACCTGTAGTTTTTATAGATTTGATTATTTTTTCCTCTTCCCCCCCACCTTCCCTGCGAGAGCTGTTTCTGGTGGGTGAGAGCAGCTCCATGTGCTGGGCTTGTGCCTCCTCTCACTTTTTGAATCTGCCGACTGCAAACTTGCAACAATCTTTTTTCTCTTCTTTTTTTTTTTCCCCCCCCAACTTTATTGAAATTTGAAACTATCTTTTCCACTAGAGGAGGGAGGGGAAAAAAAAAAAAAAGGAATGTGCCAATCATCAGACTGATTTATTTTATTTTACCTGCTTCTATTTTAATAATCATTCATAGTCCTCGCGATTACTGCCGCTCTGCTGTGCCACAGTGAAATATATTATGCCATTTTTGGCAGTTTTTCCCAATCTCTGTTGAAAATAAAAGAAATAAACGCTGTGGTATCACCTATAGATTTAAGTCTTTACAATTCAGGGGGCACTCGGAATAAGTGCAAGGGAAGCTTTTGGGGAGTCAGCAGGTCTTGAATTACTGCAGCATTTTGCTGATGGGTATTTCTGCTATTGATTTCTCAATTTTTCATAATTTTTGCAAAGGAAATGCACGTTAAACTAAGGTGTTGAAAGCAAGCAAGATGTCTGCTTTAATAGCAATATTTGCACGACCTGAAACCATTTGGGTAGGAAATGCACTCCATGGGATAATTACAATAAAAAAAGTTAGTTAATGTGAAAAATCCCCAGTGTTGCCTCGCAAGGGTGGGCAGCGGGAGGCTCTTACCCGGCTGGGGGAAGCGCTGCACAAATGACTCTATTTTATCCCTCCTGGAGGGCCCAATCCTGAGAAAAGGAGGAACTCGGCCCCTGGAAGCAGGGACGTCCCCGGCACACGGTGCTGGATCAGGCCCCACAGGCAATATATGTTTTTATGTGCAGCCTGGAGTTCGGTCATTCATTTATTCAGAATAAACCAAGAAGTGTGACCCCAGCGTATTATAATACGTTTTGATCTCTTGGGCTGATTTATGTAGTACTTTTTGAGGATATATACTATTATTTTCTAAAACAAAATTGGGGCGCGTGTGTGTCTTTCTTGCAATTTTTTTATCATCGGCACACTTTTAATCGCGATTATTTTTGTGCCAAGGAAGAGGAGTGATCTTTAACTCATCGTTACACAAAGCAGGCAGTGTCTCTGGATGGCCAAACTAACTTTCCAAGTAGGGTGTTTAGTTTTCTATACACAAAAATGCGACACGAAGCATAGAGAAAAAATTAATATTCCTCTATGTATTTGCTTCTTAAGTTGCGCTCAGGTTTTCTGTTACCGTATTTTGCTTTTTTCCCTGTTTATTTTTATTTCATGGAAAGCCTCAGAGTTTGGCTTGTCCAAATGTGCCTGAATATCAGGTTTTAATTTTTTTCTTTTGAATAAATATAAATAAAAATAAAAATGAATTCACAAGACTTGCATTTTCTAGGATTTTAGTGTTAGTCATTGCCGTGCGTGCAGGATAAATTGGCCGCATTACTTTCTACTCCCTTCACTGGTTAGGAACCGGAGAGAGAACCACCCTTCATTGTATTTGTATACGCCGCTATATTGGTGTTTTACTATACTGCCTGCTGCTATTTCCAAATATATCTTAGGGAAAGTTTTACTATACTTTAGACTTCCCCATACAAACATTGATTGGCATCCAAATGTTTAGGATTTGCCAAATTGGCGGGCATACGCTGGCTACACCGCAAGCAGCGGGGTCAGGGAGAGAGCAAAGGGAGATATGCGCTCTGCAAGTGGACTTGCAGCAGGGTTTTTAGCTTTTGACTCATTCTACCTTGTGTTTTTAAAGAGATTTGGGAATTGGGGAAAGGGACCTATCGTTGCACCCTCAGTTGAAGTTGGACCCTGTTTTTGGGAAGGTGGGAGCCGAGGTTTTGGGTTGATGCGGCGGTGGCGGGTCGGGGTCTGTCAGCGAGGGGTACAAACCCTACGGCCCATAAAACATATAAACACCCTCCTAATTCCCACCATCCCAGGAAAGCCCCGTTTCTGGCAGCTTTTTGTTGATGGTTTCGATGACATCGCCCCTTCTCTGTAACTTTTTTCAGGATGAATTTCATCCCTTCATCGAAGCACTTCTGCCTCACGTCCGAGCGTTTGCATACACGTGGTTCAACCTGCAAGCCCGAAAAAGAAAATACTTCAAAAAACATGAAAAACGCATGTCAAAAGAGGAAGAGAGAGCCGTGAAGGACGAACTGCTAAGTGAAAAACCCGAGGTAAAGCAAAAATGGGCATCCAGACTTCTGGCAAAGCTCCGGAAAGATATCAGGCCTGAATTTCGGGAGGATTTTGTTCTCACAGTCACAGGAAAAAAGCCTCCGTGTTGCGTTCTTTCCAATCCAGACCAGAAGGGCAAGATGAGAAGAATTGACTGCCTTCGCCAGGCAGATAAGGTCTGGAGGTTGGACCTTGTTATGGTGATTTTATTTAAAGGTATTCCGCTCGAAAGTACTGATGGCGAGCGCCTTGTAAAGTCCCCACAGTGCTCTAACCCCGGGCTGTGCGTACAGCCCCACCATATAGGAGTTTCTGTTAAGGAACTCGATTTATATTTGGCATACTTTGTGCACGCAGCAGGTAAGTGCTTTTCTATACCACCTTCTCCAACTTTTCGGTTTATCTCCGTGCCGGGTGCCGTATCCCGGTGGCAGCTGCATGAGGTGGGGAGGGAGCAGGGAATGCCGGTTATCGCCCTCCCGGGGCGGCGAGGAGAGCGCTATGGGTGCCAAAACTCTCCCTTCTCACCCCTTTGATTTTTTTTGGTGGTTTTTTTAAGGTGCAGCCGTGTAAAAGTGGCTCTCGTTTTCCCCGGGATAGCGGCATTTCGGGCATCTTTCACAGGTGTTATCCTAAATGTTGTCCTAGGAGGGATCGCAGCAGGACGCAGCTTCCTTTATTATCCTGGTTTGGGGGGAAAGCAGATTTTAATTTATTCTTAAAAAATAAAAGTTTGTCTATGTTATGCACAAAGTAGTCTGTGAGGGCTAGAAGTGCCTGAGGCCTGTAGGTCAGAAGTACCACATATCCTCACCCCACGGTGATAGGGAGTGTAAATCCCGCAGGATTGGGCTCGGAGGGAAAGGAGAAGATGATCCCTCGATAGCAAACCTAGTCATGAGGTCTGAGCGGCCACAAACCAACCCCCACGGTAACCCTTTGGGGGAACGGAGACATATAACCACCCTAAAACATCACCTTTTATACACCTAGAAGCGGAGCAGGTCTTGAAACAAATTCCTGGCTTGATAATATTGTGCTTATGGAGAGGGGGAACTGAAATGTTTTTGCATGTGATGAAAATCTTGGGATCTCCGACTCCAGCGCAAGGTACACCCTGGTACTCGGTGTGCTCAGAGGATGTGTAGTACGTTGAGTGGATAAAATAATACGCTATTGTAGTTCTCCTGAGCAATTATATCACAGAAAAACGTGTGCGTATGAAGTGCTAGGCCCCGATTTTCATGTATGGTATGCATAGGTCCTCATGGGCTTCAGCCTTACTTGCAAGTTGAGGGGCTGGAAAAAAAAGAAGAGCAGAGGGAAGAAGAATCATATTAGTAGAAACTGCTTCTATACAAATATGTATCAGTAAGAAAACTAAGCAAATTACAGCGCTGGGAGCATGCATCTCCAATGCCAGCTTCTTCCAGAGGGTCTTGCGGAAAGTTTTGGCTACCCTAAAGTTTTTCTGCGCCGAGTCCTTGTTGCAATAGGCAGTGTTGCCGCTCGCATTTTATGGGTATGATTGGAAATAACTTCCGAGTAGCCTCACGGTATTTCCTACGGATAAGCTGCAAAATTTACTTTGCACTTCGGTGCGATGTGGTAAATGGTATCGCACATTTATGGCGAAGGGGAGGCAGGCAAATACTGTGGAAAATTATTTATTTACCTTGCGATTTATTACGGAGCACAATGAAGGATGGATTACCAATTAATGGCTAACCAAGGGGACTTGGGGCTGGGGCGTTGTGGGTCCCTTCCCATTCCATCACCATCCCCGAGGAGACCGGGCACTCGCATCCCTTTTGTCTGCCTCGGTTACCTCCTCTACACAGCGGAGCGGGGTGATGCGCTTAAAGCGCTTTGATACCCGCTGCTGAAAACACTATTTGAACTATTGTATGGCGTGAGGGTTTTTATTATTTAGATTTATATGTAGTGTGGTACCAGTAAATACTGGTCCGTATTGTGTTTCCCAAGTGAAAAGCAGGCTTATATGTGGTGCAAAAGTTGTACGTAGAAACCAACAGTCTTGGTTTAGCTTGTGTGTAGGGTCACAAAAATGTAGGATGGGGAGAAAAGGACCGTACGCAAAGGTACTCCGAGGAGCTTGAAGGGATCCTCTCCCTGTTGTAACAGTCGGGCAATAGATGTAAAAGTTCAGCGTTGTGATTAGGGATATACCATCTTATCAGCACGCTGTTGGCAAACAGTGCCCTTGATAGCGAACTCCTTTATTTCTGCCTTCATCGTCAACAGGCAGCAATTGCACTGATCGCTCTTCAGACTAGATGTTAGCACAAGGCTTAGGCTCAGGTTTTGGGGGTAGATCTGCGGTTTTGTGTGAGCAGCGACCGCACCGCGTCGCGTTTTCGGCCGTTGTTTGCTGATGGCACGCATCGCATTGTGCTCTTAATGCAGTAGCGTGTGCTGGCGTATTCCCTGCTAAACCTCACCGGGGAGGGGGACAAAATGATTTTTAGGAGGTAGCGCAGCATGGTCGCTGTCTCCATCGCTTCACAGAGGTGTATCTAAAGCCTTCCATATAGGCTACCTCCTTTTTTCCCCCTTTTTTTCCCCTTTTTTTTCCCCCCTCCGATGTTTCCCAGCAGTCTTTGTTACACCTGAACATTGGCCAAGTTGACAGCCATTGGTTCCCGCAGACCCGCAGTAATGGCAGCTTGTGCCGGGTGCGCAACAGGAAAATTACAAAAGAAAAGGAAAAAATATTAAGGGATCCTTTGTCTCCAACTCCATCAGGCCTCGCTCCCCAAATATATGGACCGCTTCGTTGTAAGGAGGAAGTCGCCAGCGCAAATATTAGGTAGGCTGGTCAACTTACATATAGCGGATTTGACAAGCATCTGCTATAGTACAGAAGATTTGTAAACACTAAACAATGTTTTTACCTCCTTAAAAGTTTTGAGAAGTTGCCAGTATTGGCAGGAGGCACAGACTCCGAAACGTGCTTGAAGATACGTGCCAAAACCATTGTGACCTTTTCACCCATAGTGCTTGCTTCTCTTTTTCTTGTTTTTTTTTATTCTTCCCTCCCCTACTCTTCATCCTATTTTTTTTGAGGGGGAAGTATTCTCTTCCAAGATGCCCTTATTCGAGTTGACTTCGGCAGCAAGATGTCCCTTTCCTTCTAAACATGTACGATAATTATTGCTTTGAATCCACGCTTTTTCTTCAGTAGGCACTATCATCTGTAAGGGAACACATGTGCACGGATTTAAATAGTGCTTCTTACAAAGCTACTGAAATCAATTATTCTCTTTAAGAACTGGCTGGAAAGAGAAAACAAAAATATGCAAATAGGCAAACTACATGTCATTTTTGTTAAATAAAAAGTAAAAAAACAAAAAAAAATAAAAGGAAGGCAAGATCGGTGTTTTGTGAATTAGAGGTTGACCAAAAAATGTATTGAAATTTAGAGTATTGCTCTCAGTTTGCAGTTTCTAATCTGCTTAACTAAAAGCAGGCGGCATTTTCATACCCTGAACTTGGGTTGGCTTTTTAGTTTTCACTTATTCTGCGCTTGTATCAAATGACAAGTTGGAAACCATTGTGGCAAACCGTTTTCTTTGTGGGAGTCGAACAGTAAAGCTAATTTATGACCGGTCCTTTACCAGATGATCTGTATCAGAATCTACAATATACTAGGCACGTGGCAAGGTCACAATTTAAGTTGTTAAGGTCACAACCTTAGCCACCAGGCATTTGACCTTTTAGATAAAGTTAACCTTTGTTCATTAGTAGGCACTCAACCGAGAACTTTCTGGAGTTTTTTACTGCTTTGGAGTTCCTTCTGCTAATGTGATCAGATTGGAGAATAGATTCGCAATGGAAGTAGTTAAATTTTGTGAGAGGTCAGAGTTTTTTGAGTGGACGAAGCTGGATGGCAGGCCGGGAGGCGATGCTGCAATACCCGGATTGGTTTTTTGGACAGCCATCATTATGCGCTTTGGGCGAGAATTAAGCTAGCGAGGTATTTGTGGCAGGGAAAATCTTTTAATCTTTCAGAAGGACATTTAAAAATCCCAAGTTTAAGAAAAATCTGCGGGTAGGGTTTTATTGACATGGGCTCATTTTGCTATTGGTGTTTAGAACAGAAGCCAGCGAAGATGCAGGAAGTCAGCCTTATTTCTGCGCCTGTGAAAATTTACTTAGCCCCTGAATATGCTCTATGGCTAATTGCCTGGGCAATAGTATATAGCACATGACCTTGAACTTTAAGCAGACACGTTTTACGTTTTATCAGTGGATATAAAATTTTTCCACTTGGACCACCGCAGAAGAGGTATTGATGGGAATATCCCAAAGACTGGTGGATGCAGAGAGCGGCTGCAGATAGCCAAAATACCCGTGGAGGTATTGGGGCATCCAAAAGTAACACACAAGGCTTCTCTTTGTAATCTTTTAGTACAATTGGTATTGATTGTTGCTGCATTAATCCTGTTAATAGCCGCAGCCGGCCTGGCTTGTTGCAGGGATGTGAGAGGTGTCCTGACAATACTGTACATCACCAAAAGAGCTGTCGCAGCGTCTTGAACTCCTGAGAGCTGCTGAGCAAAAGTGGAGCGTTCGATGGTGGAAACTACTGCTGGCTCCTATAGAAGCACACACACCATATTGTTTACTTAATTATGCCGTAGCGAAGGCTTGGTTTTAATTATTTAGCTGACTTTCCCGCTTTGCTGTGATACCACATTTATTATTTAATTTAAAATCAAAAGGGCCGTGCCACTGTTAGGTTTTGATGCATTTTACTTTTGTTTTGGCTACGTTATTGTCATTCCATCGTACAGTAATCCAGATAGCCGTGATATGCAGATTGGCCAGATGGTCATGTTAACAGATTGAGAACCTACTTCCCACTGCTAAAGAGCAGGTGTAAGATCAGTGGGCTTTTCCCCCCCCTCCCCGTCCTTTCCTCCCAAGTTTCAACCAAAATGCTCTTTAGACAGCTCATAATGGTAGTTAAAAAGGGGCACATTTCAAATGGTGCTTGTTCAGCGGAGATGATATGTAATATATATGTCGCTTTTACACATATCTGAAGACTTTTAAACCATCCGTGACATTCCCTCCATACATAAAATATCTACTCTCAGCTCATGGCTGTTGCAGCGTACATCCAAAATGGTCCTTAAAGTTTTGTTTGTGGTGTTAAGAGCTCCTACACATTTCTACAGGCAGATTACATTTGCTTTTACCAAAAAATACTCAGCCAGCTTTGCAGCAGCTATTTCACATGCGTTCCCTATCCAGGGCTCCCTGTGCATGCTGAGGGAAATCTGCAAAGTTCAGTGTTTAGCTGAGATTTTAATGTTTGGGGCCCATAGGTGTTG